CTAAAGGTAGTCACTGTCTTCCTGTCCTGACTTTTAGCAACTATTGATTTTTTTTTCACGGCTCCCCCTTTCCATAGCTGGGGCTATGTATGTATCCCATCATACATATATGTATCATAATATATATATCATATGTTTGTATCCCATCATAAATACATGTATGATACATATATGTGTCAGTGCCTCCTGGAACTCTCAAGCTCATTATCTTTTCATTGTTTCTTAAAGCTTCTTTAGATTTTTATAACAGGCAAATTTGCTTTTATTGCTTATCTGTCTCAAGAAATTCTTGTTTCCCATTTCCTGTTTGTTCTTCCAAAATAAACAAATGAATAGTTTCTCCAACTTCCAAAAGAATTCTATTAAGAGTTTGTTTGGGACAGTACTAAGCCAGTTAAATTAATGAACGAGTTAACATTTCTGAGGTGTTTGGGCTTCTGAGGGCATGTTTCTGTACCCATCTGAATCCTCCTTCACATCCCACCCAAGTGAGAGGAATGGCAGAAGGCATCCAAACAGCCTGCTGAGGGAAGCAAGCCAAGCAGCGCTAGCTTGAATGCTGGCAAGGTATTTGGAACAGGAGGAAGGATGAGTTTGGAGCCAGCTCTGGCATCTTCCAGGAATCCTTGATTTTTTTTTTTTTCATGGCACTGGGTGAGGATGTGCTGAGAGAACAAATCTGATGAAAGCAGGAAATAAGCTGATTTAGTAAATTTGTCAGACAGGAGAATTACGGCTGGGCCCTGGAGCCAAGGATCATGGGAAGAGGGGCAAATTGAGAACAGGTAAATATGTGTTATGAGAGTAGCTTGCCAGAGAAGTCAACAGAAGGCTAAATCAGCTGGCTCTCATACGTTGGGTGAGTGGCTTTCTCTTTCTAAATTGTGCATCTTTTTATGTGAAGAGTACTCACTCATTGAATTACTTGGAAAGTCTGCACTGAAGCAGATTTCTGTGTGATATTTACTAGATTCTTCCAGGAGTTGCATGGTTAAAAAGGCCCCTAAGATGTTAAAAAAAAAAAAGTTCATGTCTAAACCCAAGGGACGTAGTTATAGAATAAAATGAAAAAATGAAAATTCAAAGGGCTGGATGGTTTGGGTGAATGGAACAGGTAAGAAAAAAAAAAAAATCAGAAATAGCCCAGAGACATAATTTAGAATTGGGCAGACATCTCTACAGAAAGTACTTTCCAAACAGGTTCTTTGGATCTTGTTTGGCCGGGCTCCTGGTAGGTGGCAAATTCTCTCATACTGTGGATTTCTTTGTAGGTAGGATCAGCCAGGGCCCCTCTGCCCCTCTTGGCAGTGAACTCCAATTACAGGCAATTTCCAGTTGTTTGTGTCCTTGAGGTTATATATTTGAAAAAATAATTTATTAATGGAGTTACAGATTTCATTCTCAATTTTTTTTCTTCTGTTTAAAACAATTTTTTTTTTTTGCATTTCATATTTTGCTGTAGGCCAAGGTAGTTGCAGTTGAACTTTTTTTCTTTTTTTTTAGATAGGGTCTTGGTATATATAGTTCAGGCTGGCCTTGAACTCTCTATGTAACCCAGGTTGGCCTTAAATTCACCATCCTCCTGCCTCAGACTCCCGAGTGTTAGGATTACAGGCAGATGTCACCATGCCTAGATAGTCCTTGTTTAACGTTGTCACAGACTATTAAAATTCTTTAATGGTATGGACTTTACACAGAGCCCCAGCTAGATGTCTGCTTCTCACTTAGAGGGGTGGGAGAGGGAGCAGAAAATGACATGCAGGCATCCCAGCCTTTCAGGGGAGCCCCAACAGGACTTACAGTGCACAGTCTGCCAGACCACATCTGTCCCATTTCTCCAAGGAACTTCCATAAATCATCCTCCTGACATATCTACCACTAGATACCACTTATCTAGAAGTTATCCACAGCCTTCCTACTCTAAGGTCAGAAGCATTCTTTATCATGGCTAACCTCATTGCTAGTTTCAACTAGCAAATCCTTCTGAGGCTTTGAAGAGGGAAAAGAAAATCCAGAGTTCTACCTGGTAGTTACTGAGGCTTCCATGTCAGTGCCAGTGATCCTCACCTCCTGGTGTTCACATGCTTGTGTGATTCTCCTTCCACATTGTTCCAGTGCTTGTTTTCTGAACAATAGCATATAGTAGGAGCACAGGAGGTCAGCAACCATGATGTGAGGTATCTCAGGCAGCCCATAGATAGGCTCATATGAAGAGGAACTAAAGCTTTCTTCATTAGCCAGTAAACAACTGAGGCCTGATGACAGTGGTCTTAGTCACTTTCCTTATTGCTGGGACAAAATGCCTAACACCTGCAACTCAAAGGAGGAGATGTTTATTTTGGGTCACTTTTTTAGGGTTTAACTGGAGGGCTCCAAGTCAGGAAGGCATGGTAGAAGGGTCTGGCGGGAAGAAAGGGGCTCAAACCATGGCAGCCAGGAAGCAGAGAAGGGAGTTGAGGAAGAGAGAGATGCTGTAGACCATTCGAGGTCACACTCCCGGTGACCTGCCTCTGAGCAGGCGCCACCTTCCAATAGCAAGTTAGCTATAGCGCACCCATGGCCCAGTTACCTTCCAAGAGGCTTGCCTCTGACAGCATGAGACTCTAGGGGACATGTAGATATAAACACTAACAATGACCACATGTGTGAGCTTGTAGGTGCATGCTCTTTTGGTTGACCCCTCAGATGAGAAAGCAGTCCTGGCTGACAGCTTAATTCCAACTTCATGGCAGACCTTGACCCAGGAATCACCCTGCTCAGCCACACCAAGAGTCCTGGCCCTCAAAGCTCTGAAATAATACATGTGGGCAGTTATTTGTTATACAGCAGTAGATAATTAATGCACTGTGTTTTTTTCTTTTGAGTAGAGATAAATTGAGTCAGGAAAACATGCTAAGTCCACGTTGACAAATCAACTTGTTTATCTTGTGCCATGCTGTGTTCTGTGTTCCTAGATTCTCAAACACATTCAGCAATAAGAATCACCTGGGGTGCTAATACAGTTCAACATACAGAATTCTAGACTGAGTCCCTTGGTTTGGAGTGGGAACCAGGAACAGTATGTTCTACTGGCATCCCAGATAATTTTTCTCATAAACCAAGTTTGAGAAACTGCAGAATAGGATGTGAAACTGAATGAGACCTGGCTCTTTCTCAGGGAAAAAGGCATAGTAGAGAGAGAATTGGAATACAGAAGTGCGTTTGAAGAAAAGCACCAAGTGATAAGGAAGAACTGAAAATTAGTGGGAGAATTAAGGCATGCTTCCTGCAAGAAAATGACATGGGAACCAAGTCTCAGAGACTCCTTAGGCTGTCACACAGAAAGACAGGAAAGAATCTGTGACAGTCAGTCCTAGCTGGTGTTTCTCAGGTGCTGGCTAGTACCAGGCAATGTGCCAAGCACTTTACCTGTCTTACTTTATTTAATCCTCAAAAAAAAATCTTATGATGTAGATGCTATTGTCATCTCTAGTTTATAAATGAGGAAAGGTAGGCTTTGGTTACCATACTGCCCAATCACGTAAATCAAGCATGTAGAGCTATTTGGAAAGGAGACAGCTGACGCCATATCCCAAGCTCTTTACCACTATCCTGTTCCATGTCCCAGGGAACATGAGACTCAGAGAGGTGTAAGTGCTGTGACATTTTTGCAAATGACAAGAGTATATGCAAATGACCAAAGTTGTCCAGGGAGGGATAGGGCCACAGCAAGATAGTGCATGAGGAAATGGAACCCAGTAGTGATTTCCTAATGCAAGTTCTACTCACTTATTTTGTTAATGAGGACAGAGCCTCAGAGAGGACATGTGACTTTCTCAAAGTCATTTAATTTAATTAGGGCAAAGTGAACTATAGCTCCATATCCTGAGCAGCACCCTGTCCATTATGGACACTGGAGGCCAATCATGGAAGGCATTGCATGGACACCTTGCTAAGGAGCTCTGAACTATTCTGTAGGAGATACATTTATGTAAAATACACTTAACAAAATTCATATTCCAATTCAGTGACATTAAGTACACTCACAGTGCTGTTTAATCATATCACTATCCATTTCCAGGACTTCTTCATCAGGTACATTTATTTTTTGAGGAATCAGCATACTATTTTCCACAATGGCTGCACCATATATATCCCCACCAACAGCACCTAAGGGTTCCAATTTCTCCACATCTTCACCAACACTTGGTATATTTCATCCCTTTTTAAGGCTGAATAATATTCTATTCTATTATATCTCATATGTTTATCCATTTTTCAGTTGATTGACATTCGGGTAGCTTCTGTCTTTTGGTTATTGTGTATAATGTATACCTGTATATAATGTATATATACATTAGTTATACACAACAGTTATGCCCATCTGAATCCCTGCTTTCAATTCTTCTGAGTTATATTCCTTGAAGTGGAATTGCTGATCATATGGTAATTTTATGTTCAGCATTTTGAGGAATTTGTAGGTCTGTGTAGAAAATCTGTGTTCTGTAAGTCAGCTCTGGTCATCCTAACCTGAAAAGATACACCGTGTGTGTGTGTGTGTGTGTGTGTGTGTGTGTGTGTGTGTGTGTGTGTGTGTGGAGGGGAGGGATCTCTGCTGTTCCCCTCTCCATTGTGGCCATCCGCCTTCAGAGTGCATTCTCTGAGACTCTTTCCAACAGAGATACAGGCAGCTGACAATGGACAGCTCGGGTTGCCACTGAGCCTGCCCACTGGCTGAGGTTTGAGCCTGTCTCAGTGTGTCCTGTGCTTGCAGTGTTGTGGGCAGCAGGGAGGCTTCTCCTGGTGCTTTGAAAGCTCACTGCTCAGCTGGGCCGTGTCCGCCCACTCTGGTGGCAGCGCTGGACTGGCCAGGTGAGGGTCCAAGGAGCCCAAAGTCCTGGGGCAGATCCAGCCTTCCGGCGAGGCCACCGCCTGCGGGCGCACAGCCCTGCCCGGAGCGCATAGCCCTCCTTCCCGCCCAGGCCACAGTTCCGGAGTCCAAGCCGGGGAGCACCGCCCGCCTGCCCGGCTCAGCGGCAGGGAACTACCTGACTCTCTAACCACGCCTTGGCGATCCCTAGGCATCCTTGCTTCGAACGGCACTCGGGCACCCCAGGATCCCGGCTCTCGCCTCCGGGAGCCTCAAGCATCCCGCGACCGCTGAGGGCGGGGACAGCGAGAGAGGGGCGGGCCCGAGCTGGGAGCTGGCTTGGCCTGGGCGCCCAGCTGCCTCTCCCCGCTTCTGCCCAGGCAGCGCGAGCGCAAATCGCACCGAAGCCCGAGAAAGATCAAGAAGAGGAGAAGGAGACCGAGGACTTCTGGAGGAAGCATCCTTGGCTCTGGACCGCGGGGCTCCAGAGGCCGCAGGTACTGATCTGCCCTCCCCTCTGGACCCCGACGGGCACTGAGGCCGCGGGGTGGCGTGGAGGGAGCGCCGGCTCTTGAATGGGGAGGGGGCTTTTCCAGGGACCCGAAAGAGTACATTTCTTCAGGAGATCTAGGTTACTCTCCTCTTTCTGTCCTTAGGTGTAAGTCGCCCAGGGTCCCAGAAGAAAGTTGGAAGCAAGAGAGCGCTGAAAGTAGGATATATCAGGGGTCGCCAGGGGCTAGAAAGAGCTTCCCAGCAATCCAGAGGACAGCGTGGGAAGGTGGAAAGTGGGGAGTGGGGTTCCTTCCTGAGAGCTGAGAATACAGGAGGAAAGACCCAGAACAATTTCTCTTCAAATCCTTAGTCTTTTAATCCTCCCACCACCTCAGAAGTGTCCGTGTTCTGTTTTACACCCTGACTTTGAGCCCTCCTGGTAGCATGCTGGAGAGTACCCCCGGGGCGGTGTGCTCCTGTCACACAGGGCCTGCGGAGGGTGAGCGAGTCTCACTGGCACTCAAGCCCTAGCCCCTTTTGGCTTTTCAGCTCTGGGTTCTGCTTTTCATGCCCCATTGGGAGAGGCAGGGCAGCTGGACTGGACTGAGAGCTCAGAGGAGGACAGAATCCGGATGAGGAGCTGGGAGAGGGAGGCAGCATTGGAGCTGAAACTTCTTGGGATGCTGAAGAACTTTAACCCTGGGCTCCTAAAGCCAGGCTCCAGATGCCTTTCCCTGAGGAGCTCGGGCAACAGGCTTTCTTGGGCATCATCTGGGTGTCTTCCTTTTCCGGGAACTCAGGATTGCTATCCTTCTCCTTCTTGTTCTCTTGATATTTAGGGTGCACTCCAGACCTAGCCCTTTTCTTATGTCCAGGGTAGGGGCTGGGGGAGGAGGCTCTGGTTTCCTTTCTGTCCTACCAGTGCTCTGATAAACCCTCTACCCCGAGCCCCAGTACAGTACATGGTGTGGTGGTCTTAGGTCTCATTCCCCTCCCCTTCCGTGCAGCTAGTTGGCTGAGAGGCCTGAGTACTCAGAATTCCTTGCATTCGGAGTGTAACACTCTCTCTCTCCAGGGAGCTCTGTGCTTTACAGACATTATTGATTCCTGCTTGGAGGAGGTGAAACCATAAGTGTTTAAGCTATTTACCTCAGGACACACAAGCAGCTCAGGAAAGACTCCCCTCTCAGGTCCCCTCTCTAATCCATTCAGTGGGTCATAGGCTGAGACTTTGCCACCGAAGCCTTTGCTTGGGAACAGGCCTTGGTAAACACTGTACCTAGCTTCTAGGTTCACAGCAGATTTTGATGTGGGAAAGGAAGCTCACTGAGGATAGGGGAAAATGGCTGCTACATGGTCTCATGATTTGACAGTGGTGTTTTGCCAGAAGATCAGCTAGTGGGGAGCAAACAGGTTGTCTCAAAGTTGTCCTTCTGCTGTGGCTATCAGAATAATTTTTTTGTTTGAAGCCACTGGAAAGGAGCTGTTGCTGCCACAGAATGGGGCTGTTCACCTAGAACACAGATTCAGGCAGTCACGACAGTAAAAAGAGTTCAGAGCAGGTCACTTCGGTCTCCTCAGCCTTTCCACACTCTCACCTGTGGTCCTTGAGAAAAAGTACATTTGGTGGAATGGAAGTAAATAAAGTCAGGGACTGATTGTTTCTATAGCAATCCAGTCTTCCTTAATCGAATGAATATGTGGTTTTCATTCATTTAGTTTATCTCACGGTTTCTTTATTTCCACTCCATCACCCTATATTCACTCTGCGCAGGTGGCTAATGGATCTGCTTAGGTTGCGGGATGATTTTACATGCAGTCAGCTTCATTCAACATGTAGCCAACTGTTTGTGTCTTTCAAAGGCTTAGAATGGAGCCGGGATACACTACCCCAAGGATGTTGGGAGGGACACTGACTCATTAAGGGAGAGCTCTGTCAGCAGAGAGGGAAGACTTCGGTTGTACACATATCACCCTGGGAGAGTTCTCAGCAGTGTTGCTCACAGCATCGACTGGCAAGATGGAGATCGCAATGGGGGCCATGGATGAGAACATCACCAATTCCTCTACCACCTTCCTTTCTGTACTGGACTCCCATGGAGCCCAAGCTGCTTCTCTGCCATTCAACTTCAGTTACGGTGACTATGACATTCCCTTGGATGAAGAGGAGGATGTGACCAATTCCCAGACTTTCTTTGCTGCCAAGATTGTCATTGGCATGGCCCTGGTGGGCATCATGCTGGTCTGTGGCATTGGCAACTTCATCTTTATTGCTGCCTTGGCCCGCTACAAGAAACTGCGCAACCTCACCAACCTGCTCATCGCCAACCTGGCCATCTCTGACTTCCTGGTGGCCATTGTCTGTTGTCCCTTTGAGATGGACTACTATGTGGTGCGCCAGCTCTCCTGGGAGCATGGCCATGTCCTGTGTGCCTCTGTCAACTACCTGCGCACTGTCTCTCTCTACGTTTCTACCAATGCTCTGCTAGCCATCGCCATTGACAGGTGAGTGCAGGGGAAGTGGGGGTAACAAAAGTGGTCAGTAAGGAAGAGACACTGGAATTAGCTCTTTCTTTCATGCACTTGCAGATTGATGAGAAGGATCTGTACTTCCCTTAGATGTAGATGCATGAGGCACTCAAAAGAGAGAAATGTTCTAGTTTTCCAGCTTTGGTCAGACAGGAGGCAATGCAGTCCCCTGCAGTTGTGCAGTAGAAAGGCTTTTGATCACCCTGCTGTGAGCCTACTCCGAATGTTGTGCCTATTCCAGGTCTAGAGTAGACAGATGTTAAGGAATATGTTTAAGTTCTAAGCAGTTACTTCTGGGGTGAACTTGAAAATTTCAAGGGAAGTTTTTATCTTATCAAGAATTTAGATACCAGGTTGAGGGGAGGGGAGGGGACTGGGGAAAAAATAAGAACCAAGATATATTATGTATAGGTACAAATTCCCCGTAATGAATGTGATCATTATGTATATCTAAAATGTACCAATAAAATTAATTTAAAAAAAGAATTTCTCTACCGACACATGATCTCCTAATAGTAATTGATTTTTAAACAAAATTGAGGGAATTTTGAAAAGAAAAAAAACCCAAAAAGGGAACATGTACTTGCTTAATTGTTTGTGCATGAATCACTTTGCACCTTTATATCCATTTGTATACAACAGTGCAAAACAGCTGTTTCTAGTGATGGTAAATAAAATCAGTGACAGCATCCTCTGCAGACCTTTCTTATAGTTATTTTCATGTGGTATAAACTTATACTAATGAGCCAGAGTGGTGTTTGTTTTTTTCCCCTGGGAATAGTCTTTACAAGCTTCTCTGCCCACTTTTCAGTCTCTCATGACAAAGCTCCTTGTTATGGTCCATAGCCAGTTACCCTCATGGTTAAATCAGACCTCCAGGTACTAAGATCTGAACAGCTGGTCTCCCTTTCGACCCAGATAGCCTGGAGCACACCTGTTCTCTCTGTTCCACAGCCTTGGGGCTCTGGGGTTCAACCTGGCCTTAGCAGTCAGGCATCCCAAGTCAGTGTTCCAGAGAGGAGCACAGCTAAAGGAGCGTGTTTTGTGAAGCTGGGGAGAAGGCATCCAGTGGTAAAGCAACCTGGAGAAGGTCTACTCCTAAGGAAGGGGTTTAAAAGGAGCCTGGCTTTAAAATGCATTGCCCCACTTTGGTGCAGAGCCACTGCCTCCTTTCCCTAGGGAAGGATGTCAAGGACTTGCTTTACTTAGGCAAGAGCTCTGGGTGAGCCTACAGCAAGAGTAGGAGGGCAGAGTTCAAGCAGAGGTTGTGCTGCTGAAGTCTCCAAGGAAGAGAGTTCCAGAGACTTGGTGTCTGACCTTTCCTGAACATGGAAACTGCTACTTTTTCTCTTGATACATGAACAGGACAAAGCATGTGAGGTCTTTCCCTGAACGTGCATGCGAGCAGGCCATCTAGTCTCAGGGGTGCTCTAAGCCATGAAGGGTAAAGTAGGCAGGTGCTGCTGCAGAGTGGGGCTCTGCTTCCAAGGGGAGGTCCATTTCACCACGCAGGGGCCCCCTGGTCAATAGGGCTGACAACTGCAGCAGGGCTTCAAGGGTGAGGATGCCAGTAAACTGAAGGACACTGAGTTATTTTTAATGTGTAAGAGATAATATCTATGTCAACCAATCAACCTCATTCTGCTGAATTCCTTCAAACCCACTGTCTACTTTCATAGCAAAGGCACCTTGTCTAAAATACTGCAGATGTTTCACTCACAGTGTGAGTTTATATAATGTAAATTAGATACACCAAGAAAGTGGAATTGAGGAGGTACAAACACTTTGGATTGTGGGAACTGCTGTTGTTCAGAGTGGTGTTGTGATTGAAAATTTACACCTGGCTTTGTAGGAAAACATGGTGTGCTGGCACCATACCAATCTCCGCCTTGGCTCACTAGCAGCTTACTCTAATGCATTAAGTTTCTTTTAAAAATTGATATTTGTGATCTTTGCTTCACATTATTTTTATTTTAATGTGTTGTTACCATCTAATTTCAATTTCGTGGTCTAGGAATCATTGATTTTTGTCTGGTCTCATGTGCTGTTCAAAATTGTACTGGCAATTTTCAAGTTTGATTTGGTTAGCTTGGGACAAGGAAATTTTTATCTTAGTATACAAATACACCTATGATTATAGAAATGCCTTTATTTTTGCTTAATGAAACTTCTCTAGGGATAGTATTAACAGTTCCTGTACTTAGGTTTGTTTTCACTTTTTTTTTTTGGTACTGGGGATCGAACTCAGGACTTTGTGCTTAAGAGGCAGCCAGCGGAACCACTGAGCTAAATCTCTGGCCCTCCTGTACCTAGGTTTGGATTCTTGTTGTACCATCTATTCACTGTAGGGCTTTATTTTAATTATTTGACTTCTCGCTGACTCAGTTATCTCATCTATAAAATGAGGATAATAATAAAATAATATATTGCATTGTTTAGAATAATACTTAGGACAGAGTCAACCCTTAATAGTGGATATTATAGTTCTTAAATTAACCAGTAAAAGAACAAGGACAACAACCACAAAGCCAGATGAGCTAATGAACTTTTCCCATTGGCTTACCTCTTTAATTTCATTGAAACAATTGTTTTTATGACATGTTAGACAAACTCAAAAAGCTGTTTTTTATGAAAATCAGAGCTATCAAAATATAGCATAACAGAACTATTTGTTTTCTCCTTTCTTGGATTTCTGCTCCGATTATTGTTTCCATTGCTCTCCCAGACATCTAAGCTTGAAGGTCTCTTTCCTCCTGGCCTCTCTCTCATTCTCTAGCATTCATTCAACTGCCATGTCCTGGTACAACACCTCTGCCTCTACCTTGCTCTGGAATGTCACGGGCTCCCCTTGAACTTCCTGCATTTGGTGTCCCTTGGCTCTGCCCAGCTGCCAACCCTACTCCCCTCACCATCCACCCTAAAATTTCATTCACCCATGTATATGCATGGATTCATTCTAACAATTTTCATAGAGGAACTCTGATGTGACAGGAATTCTTTCAAGCACTGAGGAATACGATGGAGAATGAGAGAAATTTTTAAAAGCTCCTTCCCTCATGCTTGGTTATAACCAAGCAGAAGAGGTTATATCCAAGAAAGATGACTGGTAGCCAGACAGGAAAAGAAGGTGATTTCAGAAGCGACAAATACTGTGACTGCAAACACACACCCACAAAAATGCTGAGAGTGACTGAGCACGGCCCCTGCTCTAGGTAAGGTATCAGGATAAGTTCTCTGAGCAGACATTTAAACCAACTTCTGAATGTTGGAGGAAGAGTCAGCCTTGTGAAGACTGGGAGAAAGCTTTGCAGACAAAGGGGATTTTAAGTGCAAAGGCCCCCAAGGCAGTAACGGACCTGATGGGTTCTAGGAACAGAGAGCAGGTCTCTGTGCCTTAGGGAAAGTAAGGAAGGTTGCAGCCAAGTTAATCTCTGTCTTGAACACATGTCCCTCCCTTGCTTAAATGACCCATGTGACTCCATTGTCTACAAAGCACAGCTCAATATCCTTTGCTGCTGAGCTTCTAACTTTCTCTTATCTAGTGCCAGATTGCCACCCAATCTCATGCAGATAATCACATTTATGTCTTGTTCTCCAAATCAGGTTACAATCTCTTTTGGGAACTGCCACTGTGGTATTTTTTACATTTCTATTTACCCAGTGCCAGGTACTTGATGTGGATAAAGTATTGTAATACTGGAGGTCTGGAATTCTGATTCTAGCTTAGGCAAGGCTGATGGAAATCTCCAAAATAGTTTTCTGTAACTTGTCTATATGAAAATATATCAGAAAGACCTCCTGCACAGTACATGGCACTGACATAAGGTAAGGATTTGGGAGGATGTCAGGGAGAGTTGGGATGTAATAACCCTGCTAATTTTTTTTTGAATTGAAGATTGGATTCAGAAAATAGAAAGCAGTAGAGGACTTGCAAATACAGTATGTGCCAATAACGGGTAAAAGAATGTTGCTGTGTAGACAGAAGAGCCCTGACAAGGATACATTTTAAGGTATTAGTCATTTCTTGAATATTAATAGCTTATTGCTCTTTACATACCATACCTTATTGGAGCCTCACAGCATCCAGATGATACTTCCATTTTATAAATAAGGACATTTAACCAACAGGGTTAGGAAAAATGACTCAAGTTCACACAAGTTTGTGGCAAGGCTGGGATTTGATTCTTGGTCTTCCGAGTCCTAGATTGGATTATCACCTATGGATTCATTGAAAAACTGTAAAAGAAAGGAATAGAAATATATAGTAAAAATTCATAGTGAACAAATGTGAAAATAGAACTTTTCTTTGACAGAGTAACTAGCAGAATTGTGAGGTGGCTGGAGGAAAAGCAAGCTGATTGTGAACTCTTTATTTTCCATAGGAATCTGAGCACACTTAATGCACTGGCGACAGCAGGCGCACCTTGGCCTTTCCGAAAGGCCAGGCACACGTTCCTCGGTAGAGCATTCCTAGTTTTCTGCAGAGATTCCCATTCCATTTCTCAGCACCACACAGTTGGCTAGAGGACCAGAGATGGACACTGGGGGCCACTGTGGTATCCAGTTCAGTGTCCAGAGAGTGGACTCTCCCCAGCCAGCTTCATCTATCATCTTTTAGAACAGGGGTCTCCAGTAAACTCTCCAAACATACTCAGTTGTTTTGGCTGCTTATGGAATGGGGATGGACAGAAATAGCAGAAATATAATCACACACACACACACACACACACACACAAATGAACCTCTCTTCGGATCAAAATCCCAGACAAGATGATCTGAAAAGGATTAATTTCAATGGAAACAGAATTAGTTTGGCTTCCTATCAGGCCCCTGTTGCATTTGCACTCAGCCTTACCTGGGGTAAGGTGTGGACACATGAGAATGCGTTTATCTCCAGTGTTAACTCGTCATTTCTTCCCATTTCACTTCCATCTTTCTCCTTCTCCAACTTCCACCCCCGCCAGAAGTGGAAAGCCTTTCAGGAAACCAGAGCTCTCAGCCTAAGTCTGTTCCACCCTGGGATGGGTGCTGTCATACCACACCAGTGACTCACAGTTCTAAGAAGTACTTTCTCCTTCCCGGGCCACTGTGGTAACTGCTGTGTGGGTTCTTTAGTAATGAACAAAAGCAATGTCTTTTACCATCCGTTGTTTTGTGGTTATAAAAAAATACATTCATGTATATTCTCAATTGATTTTTCACATCAACCCTAGGAGCTGAGGTTAAGTGTTTTCTATCAAGGGTCTTGTGGTGTATGACCTTAAGAGGGTCACTCATCTCTCCCCAGCCTTCACCATCTTTCCACCGGGAAAATGAGATAAAAGGCCACATGCTTTCCCCCACCTCTGCATTATTGAGCAGTATTTTTGTGGTTGTTTTTTGTTTTTTTGGGTACCGGGAATCAAACTCGGGTCCTTGTACTTGCGGAGCAGGCGGCGAAACCATTGAGCTAAGTCCCTGGCCCAAAATGATGTAGATAGATAATGCATTTTTTTTTGGTACCTGGGATCGAACTTGGTCCTTGCACTTGAGCAGCAGGTGGCAGCTAAATCCCTGGCCCCACTAAGCAGTATTTTTAAAAATATGAAATGAAGACAAAACTGCCTGGATCTTCCTTTGGAAAGGGCAAGTTCTCCCAGAAGCTCTTTGGAGTTATCAGGTTAATTTAGCTTTAAACTTCAAGGTAATTAAGACAAACAGAAAAGACCTGGGAATTATGTCAGGCTAGAAGCTGATAGGAAGAATTATCACTGTATTTGATATTAAGATTTGCTATTTTGGGGTGTATACTAGGTTTAAAACTTTGCCAGGAGCAGTGCATATATTATTGTACCTAAGTTTTAAAAAATTGAGCAAAAATCTTTTGCAAGAAATTGAGGTTCAGAGAGAATAAGTAAAACTTGCTCAAGGTTGCACAGCTAGTTAGAGGTGGAGCTGGGTTTGTGTCCAACTCAGCCATTCCTGGAAGTCCACACTTCTTTGGGCTTTTCTCCACCTGTAATTTGGCTGCTCCTCATAGTGATGCAAAAGTGAAATTCTTATTCAGTACCTGCTCTTCTCACTAGCTGACTGCATTTGTACTCTCGCCCCAGGTATCTGGCCATTGTCCACCCACTCAGACCACGGATGAAGTGTCAAACAGCCACTGGTCTGATCGCCTTGGTGTGGACGGTATCCATCCTCATTGCCATCCCCTCAGCCTACTTCACCACCGAAACCATCCTCATCATTGTGAAATCCCAGGAGAAGATCTTTTGCGGCCAGATCTGGCCAGTGGACCATCAGCTGTACTACAAGTCCTACTTCCTCTTCATCTTTGGCATTGAGTTTGTGGGTCCTGTGGTCACCATGACCCTGTGCTACGCCAGGATCTCCCGGGAGCTCTGGTTCAAGGAGGTCCCCGGATTCCAGACTGAGCAGATCCGCAAGCGGCTGCGCTGCCGCCGGAAGACAGTGCTCGTCCTCATGGGCATCCTCACAGCCTATGTGCTGTGCTGGGCACCCTTCTATGGCTTCACCATTGTGCGTGACTTCTTCCCCACCATGTTCGTGAAGGAGAAACACTACCTCACTGCTTTCTACATTGTTGAGTGCATCGCCATGAGCAATAGCATGATCAATACCCTTTGCTTCGTGACCGTCAAGAACAATACCATCAAGTACTTCAAGAAGATTATGCTGCTCCACTGGAGGTCTTCTTACCATGGGAGTAAGTTGAGTGCTGACCTTGACCTCAAAACTACTGGGATGCCTGCCACAGAAGAGGTAGACTGCATCCGACTAAAATAACCCCATGGGCCTTGCAAAGTTTAAAGAGAAGACAAGATCTTTGGGAGGCCAACCAATGTGCTTGGGTACATGCTCCAGGCAAGAACTCTTGGTTTTCAGCAGACAGGAGAGTAAATGGTCAACCATGGAGGCATTGTGTTCAATAAGCCTGAAATGTCTAAAACGGATGAGACTACACATTGTCATTAGTGGTCAGTATTCATTGAATATCTAACTTGTGCAAAGAGTAGGCACTGATGAAACCTAGTATGTTGCTGACATTTAGCTGACAAAACAAAATGGGAATTAAACCCAAGTCAAGTGTGATACAGACTGGATTAAGGAGGTTTCCACAAGGGAGCCAGAGTACATTTGTTTGGAGTGTGAAGATATCTTTGGATCATCTCAGCTGCTCATCAGGTCTCACTCATTTCTAGCTTGAGTTTATTCCTAACATCTGCAAGGCTGGCCCAAGAAGGCAAAAGAGGTTCCAGATCTTTCTGCACCCCTTCACTTCCCATCTGGTCTGACTCTCACTGTGAATAGCCTTGCATGCAAGCACAGGGACACCTCATGTTGTGTGGCCAAGTTTGCACTCTCCATGCTCTCCTATGGCCCTACCCCTACCCCCACCCCCAACCCAGGGCTCTGCACATCCATGGTAAGGTTTGTCAGGAGAACGATGGGGAAGAAATTGCAAAGACACTGGGTGCTATTTGGACAGAGAATTATGAAGTTCCCTTGGGAAAGTGTGCAGAAGAGAAGCCTGGGCTCACTGTGGGCATGTCCCCTTCACTTTATGGGCTACTCACCTCAGGAGGAAGAACGTACAGTTGAAGAGAGTCAAAATTTCCTGTGTGGGCCTCAGGGTAGGGGCTCAGGCTCTCTGGGTGTAAGGATGACATTGCTTTACCTTTGTTATCCTGGCTTGGACTATTAGGTTTCCCTTCCTTCTCGTGTCTTCATGCTGTGAAGTGTGGAAGTTTTGAATGTAGCCACATGAATGCGGCTATCACACAGTTTTTCACTCTCATCAACTCTCAAGTATGAGAGGAAGAGCTCCTTCCTATAAGCCAGACTGATGAGGTACCCTTACCGTTGTGATTGGAAAGCAGGATGCATTTGTCACTGTGCCTGAATCCCATCCCAGTCATGATTCCTTTGGATTGAGACTCATTTCTCTTATAAGATGGAAGCACTCTTAGGTAGAAAAGGCCATTCCATTTCTACTCCTCAGTATGAAGTCATGCGCTTCAGTGGTAAGGGATATAGCTCATGGTAGAGCTCTGCATATCAGGAAAGAAGAATATGAATGGTTGGGAGCAGGATCAACAGTGAGCTGTGGTGACCCCACAGGTACTGAAGGCTCATTGCACTTTTTGCCCTGCCTTTCATTTGGTGTTTTGAATTTGGAACTTTTGACCCAAAAGGTCTAAGATCCAGCCATGGCTCTTGTCTATATGGCCTTCAGAAAACTTCTCTGAGACAAAGGTAAAAAGTACCTATAAAAGTATGTACCCTGTGGTACATACTGTCAGGGTAGTTGTGGAAGCTAATAAAATAATGTATGAGAAACTGCTTTCAACCACAGAAGTAGTCAAAAAGATGGACTAGTGACTGTGTAGTGTGCCTGAACAAAGATTCATTTGTTACCTTGGCTTCTGTATCCAGCAAACCTGCAATCTCCTTTTATTTTTCATTCTGTGAATTATATTCCCTTACCTTTCTTAGCAGTGTGGCATGCATTACATTCCTAATGGTGTGTGGTACCAACAAGGCTGTGAAATTTGATGACAGCCAGTGGAAAGGACATGGCAGATGAATCTCTTGTCAGGAGATGAGTTAGGGTTTTGAAAACTCTAGCATCAGAACCTCTTTGGGATCTCAGAAGTACTAACCACCTTCCCCTGTGCTTTCCCAGGCAATATGAATTTGAGCAAAATAATAGTGTTTACCAGTCACTTTTATTCCAATAGCATGGAGAGCTACAGAGTGGACTTGCCCCTTCTTATTTAATTCAAAACAGGGCATTTATAAGCCTAAGTGATTACTGTGTAATATTTACTCTCTAACTATAGTCAATTCATTTTTGACAGCAGAGTTTATTTTTTATTTCCTTAGAAAACACATTTTCAAAGACTTACCTATTTTTTCCCTATTTCTTTTTGTTGCCCAAAGACCCCTACAGTTTATTTAGAATTCTCTGAGAGAATTAAAAGCAATTAAAGTATTAGTCTAAACCAAATACACATTGGACAGCCATTCTTATTTTTTAAACAAAATCGTATATTACATTTTAAAATCCTGTGTTAGTTTTGGGATTAAAACTAAGAAAGTTATACAATTTATTGGGATTAGTGTCACCATTCCCATGAAGATTGCTAAACAAGAGTTGAATATGGTAGGAGGTTTTTTTGTACATGAAAACCAAACTCCTTTTTTACTTTTCAGTCTAAAATGTATGTATTATTACTTGTTTAACTATCTGTGATTTCCAGATGTTACTGTTTGCTTGTGATTTTATAGTGAACAAAACTGTGTTGTTAGCAAGTAAAATAAAAATTGATGTATATGTATATGTTCATTGATCATACTGTCCTTTTACTTTCTTCCTGCCTTCTCAATCCTTTTCCTAGTTCTAAGATGATAGTTCTTTGAGTGAACATTGAATAGATTTCACAATCACCTGAACTGTGGGAGTAGTTTTCTCCTCTCCATCCTGAAGAGATTTACGGATCTCTATGGATCCTTTTCTTTTAAATCTGTTCTGATAATACCACTGGTACTTTTTAGCATCTAAATGCTGAGACTTGAAATCTGAGGACCTATTTATGCCAATAGCATAAGATATGGCTCTCTTAGTTGAATAAGCTTAATGTCCACATATGCAAAGTGAACAGGGCAACCCTATAATACCAAGCTATGTTCAGGTTCATTCAACTCACTGCCCAGTTGATAGTTTTGCTACAAACTGGTGGCAAGCCAACAAGGTGACACTTATAATTCTACATTTCTTTTCTGTTCTCTAAATACTTTCAATATGCAGAAAAATAGACATGATTTTGTAAAATCAAACTATTTCCATAACTAAAATAAAAGAGAAGCTTTTGAGATTTTTGCCTACTAACCACATATTTTAAAATAATTTCTTCAGTCAAAGACATTAAAAGAAGGCAATGTGGTGGTCACCTCAGCATATTTTGAAGTGTGAAACAAGTTCCATGCTCATTATGGGAAAGACTAGAGAATTTGTGGGGTGACCGGAAAATTATAAACACGAGTCTTGTTTCTTGAAAAATATGACAAATTTTGGAATGTATCCACAAAGAATGAGTCCAATTCTCCTTCTCAGAGTGTGAGAGTATCAAATTCAAAACATTCATTTTACAATTGATGAAACTAAAATCCAGAGTGGGGAGAGATATGTTCAAGGTCTCACAGCTATCACCATGGTAGCCAAGTTTACATCCCAAGGCTCCTGGAGCTTAGTCCAGGATTCTTGTTTCACAGTAGTCCTGGATGCTTGGAGCATCAACACCGTAGAAAAGGGAGGATCCTTTCCAAGAATCCTTGCGGTAACTGTTGCTAGGTTAACTACCTAGCCTGGCCTGCTCTAGAGACCCTAAAGAGTTTAGCAGAGACATTCCTAGCTTATTTGGAAGCCAACTTTAGCTCATTCCACCCCTGGGACCTCACAGCTCAGACACAGAGGACAGGAGGTGCTAAGAAAGCACTCCTTAGATGTGTCCATAGCTTATCTTTTTTACTTTGCCTAATTGGAGGTCCCTAAGAATGTAAAAGAGACATTAGGCTCTTGGTCCTCAGAACAGCTGCTTGCTGGGAAGCAGAAGAGAGAGAAGAAGACAGGCTTAGTTGAATATCCAGACTGGTTGGCAGTCCCTATGTGCCAGAGTTTGGAGACACCAGAGGGCCACCTCCTGCCCCTGCCAGTGAAGACAAGAGAAGTAAGGAAGGCTCTTGGAGCTTGAATGGGAACAGTGATGTACAGAGAAGTAAAAAGATGAGCATTCCAATGGGAAAAGAAGCATTTCTTTTATCTGTTCCTGGAAACTGAAATTGCTTTTGCTGGAAGCAAAACCTTCTCAGATAGTGAAAGGTCTGTCATTCTGGGAAAGGTTAACTAAAAATACTGAAAAGCACAGAGACTTAAGTAAGGAGTATCAGAACCTTATCTGAGAGTGGGTTTTTCTAGGAAGTGAGGGCATGGAGGAGAGAAATTTGCTTGAATGAGAGAATAGCGAGAGAGGAAGTAGGTCTGGATGATGGGTGAGTAAAACATTACAGAACAAAAATAAGAGAAAGAATGAACAGGAGCAGGTTGCTGGAAACAAGTGTGGCCAACTTTCATGCTAGTGTGGAAGAGCATCTACCATGTGGCAGGCTGAGCTGAGTGAGTTAAAGGTCTTGTCTCAGTCCTAATACAACCTCTGAGTCAGGAGTGCATATCATTCTCATTTTACAGATGAGGATACGAGGTCTAAACTCAGAGAAGTTGTTCACAGTCACACAAGCAGTGTGCTGAGATTGAACCCAAACAGTTTGACTCCAGAGCTTGTATTTTTAGTCACTCTCTGCTGCAGCCTTTAAGTGATTTTTCTGGAGTCTGATCACTGGTGATAAATCATCTCCTAAATTAACCAGATTTCCTAAAGCAACAATCTGGCACAACTCACATTTTCCTCCCTTGTTAGGGAAGTTTATTCAATCTCAGGAGGTGAATTTAATGCAGAATCCTTAAACTTTGAGAGCCTTAGGAACTTCTGATACCTTGTAAAGTTTATAGCCTCTTCTTAAAAATTAGTTTTAAATTTATACAATAAAACACATAGGAATGCAAAAGAAATTAATTATATTGAAATGCAGTTATCAAAACATTTTAAAAGTCTATGGTATAATTATGTAAATATTTCTTCTTAGTAACATCTCTTTATAGTAAATCTTTAATGCATTAAGTAAGAGGATTTAGCACCAGGGCTTATAACTACCATAATTTTGAAGTAACAATGAATGTGAATATTTTGAGATTGTTCATCAAACTTCAGTGGTATATAAAGCATCTGTGATTTCTTCCAGTGACAGTCCCAGAAATTGCCAATACTACTGCTGTTTTTTCACCTGCTTCAGAATGGCAGGAAATGCTTAAGCTTGGTAGATTGATTAGTGAAAATAATGATTGTTTTTCCATCCAAGTTCATGTCCTCCTGAACTAGTTAAGAACACCTGCCCCAGAGGAGGCTAAAACTAGCACCCTGGTGTGGGCACAGGTAGAAATGGAGATGGCAGGAAGGAGGAGGCCTACAAAATTAAATGGAATTAAATCAATAGATCTTTTTCTGTAAAGAGGCCCTAGATGGCATTGTGATTCAACAGTCCTATGTTCCTATGTCTATCAGTGGCCCTAATTCTGATTCAAGTGACAAAGACTCATGTAAGCATCCAGGGAGGGCCCTCCTGTTAGCCTGGAGTATCAGGACTCTCACACAACTATTTAACAAACATTCAATGAGCTACACTGTCTCGTTAAAAAGGGGATGTGACATACTTTCAATTCATGTCCCTTAATGATTGATCCCCAGGACAGAGAGTATTTTGGTTGCTGGGAGACACAAGAAGACTTCCCTATAAAAACAGCATTGTAGATTTACTTACCAAGATGATTACTCTCTTATTTGTCATTTTCTGCTCTTATATGAATGATTTTGTTTCTACACTTTTAATTTTTTTGGCCTTTTTCTATCTTCTTGAGTTGAATATATACTGTATCTTAAGTGAGTTAGTGGATGAGTTTTCCTTTGAATATTTTTGCTTTCAGTTGGACATTTAGAATTTCTTTGGCTCTAAAATATTGCTTTTTATTCCACCACACACACACATTCTATTTCTTCTGTTCCTCTAGAGAGCCATAACCAATACAAAGAAAAAAAAAGAAACTAGGGATGGAAAAGGAGAAAGGATATTCAAAGAAAAAGAATAAATTTAAATTTAGAGAGGCTGGGAAGTTTAGTTTCCTTCAAGTATCTAGTATTCTCTTTGTCTTTAGAAAAATAATCAGGCTTCTATTTCAGACTAAAGATTATATTCCCCAGACTCTTTTTCTGCTAAAGATGATCATGTGACCAAGTACCTACCAGTAATACCTAGGAGAAAACTTCTCAAAAAAAAAAAAAAAGAGGGAAACTTCCTTTCTCTTTCTCTTCTAAAATCTCAGTGTTTAAGGCATAGATGTAATGAATGTAGCTCTAGCAGCTACCTTGGATAATGAAAATAAAGTTTGCACCATAAGGACTATAATCTAGAGAGTGGGAAGAGAAATGAATCCATGAAAAACCTGCGGTGTTCATAAGCCTTGTACTGACTGTCTCCAAGTTTCTCCTAAGTGAGATGTAAAAACAAGTTTCCATCTCCTTTAAGTCGCTTTTTAAGTAGTTCTGTTTCTAGCTTCTACCCTAGGAAAAGTGCCCTAACTGGGCCCCCAGAATAGTTTTAACTACATTTTGTGTTTCACATAATCTTTACCTTTTCAGCCAAAGTTACATTGTCAAACCATGTGAGTGGGATATCAATATTTTCCAGAATAATAGTACCTTAATAAAAATCTAATCTGAACAACTCTAGTTTACCACATTTATGAAAACTTTTAAAAACCTACCCTCAAGGTGAATCCTCTTTATCATATGCATGCTTTTCTTTTTTTTTTTCTAGAGATAAAAATTACCTAAATGTCCTTTTTGATGATTGTGATATGGGACTTAATAATATGCTACACTATTAATTCTAGTTAATCAAATGTCTCTGCATACTCTATTAAGTACTTTATAAGCCTGACTTTGTTTAATCTTCATAACCCTATGAGAGAGATAGTAATTATGTCCCTGATGGTCACTTGTCTAGTGTTACCCTACAGTTTGAAACCAAGATGTTTTGGTCTTAGAGCATGAGATCACTAGGCTACTCTGTTTAGTAAACTTCTAGCATCTCTTTTGTTTTTGTATTTAAAAAGACAAGGTTAGAAGGCACAGGATGAGGACCCTGGCGCTGCTTGGAGCCCCTGCTCTGTCCCCACTCTCCATACAACGTGACCAGCTTAGCCTCAGGTGTCTGCAGGGCCCGGTCATCCCCCCCCAACCCCCCACCCCTGGCCTCCTGGCTTTGTTGCTACCTGGTTCCACACTACAGAGGGGGTCATAAAGGCCATTGTCCTGTGCTCCACAAGATAGAGCAGAAGTGAACAACAGAAAGAGGGCTTCTCTCAGGCTCCTTGATGAAAACTGAAGCCCAGTGGACAAGTGAAGAAAATCTCTGCAATAAAGGCACACCAGACCACCGTACTTGTTAAGTTGGAGGGATCATAACCTCTCACTGGAACCGGGACTATCTTCAGGGGAAGGGCACCTGGAACCTCCAATAGAACCTTGCACAGTTCAAACCTGCAGGAGGACAGGGAGCTCAACTTGGGACTAGCAGCCAGAAATCTGCCTGAATCTCAC